AGGGTTATTATAGTTAACTAAAACTAAAACTGAAACTAAAATTAAAACCAAAAAAAAAAAAAAAAACTTACAAAAAAATTAATAATAATAATAATAACAATAACAACAACAATTTAATATATTATTTTATTATTCATCCTATTTTATTTTATTGTCATTGTTTTAATATTTTAAATGAATGAAAATTCATTCAATATTATTTGTATTTTTTTATAGTTTTCAAACTTTTTTGCTTTATTATTTGCAATGAAAATTGTTATAAAGTTATTGTATATATTTTATACAATAATAAAATAATACATTTATTATTATTTTATCATGTAATATTATTATCTGGAAATTTTACTGTATTATTGTTTTTGTTGCTGTTTTATTTTAATATTTTTTTTCAACGTATAAAAAGTATAAATATATTATAATTATTTCGCTTTTTACAAAGGTTTTGTTATATTGTTTGCAATTAAAATTATTATACAATTATTTTATATATTGTATATTTTTTCTTTATTATATATTTATTATTATTACTATTTTTTTTTTTATTACTACTATTAATAATGTGTAATATTATAAGTTGGAATTTTTATTTTTAAAAATGCTATACTAAAACACTAACAATACTGTTCAATACAAATAGAATAGAATAGAATAGACTATTTTTAACCTATGTATTACATCTTCGTTTTAAAAAATAATAACTATTACTAATACTATTACTAGGCTTACTAACTTACTATTGCTGTTTTTAGACTACTAAATATAAGCTTGGTCCTTTGTGAATTTCCATTTGTAGGGTTTGGATGTCTTTTCTTTAGGGTGCATGTATTACAAATATTGCGATTCTCTTGCCTCGTGTGTATAATTGGCTGTGACATCTAAAGTAAGGGTTAGTTAAGGAGCTCTTGCTCCATGTAACTGTATTCTTTGCGCCCTGAAACCGGGGCCTTTTCCCCACACTTCAGCACCTGGTCTGGACAAACACTGAACCTCTACACTACTGCATCCCCTAAGTATAAAACGGTCTCAAATGACTTCAATTCATTCATATTGTCAGAGATAGACGTCCAAGCCAGGATTTATATGAGTCTAACATAAAGGTATCAGGTACTTAGTCAAATAGGTAGGGAAATAAGATAAATTAGCAGGAATGTAATACTCCATGAAGAGTTCTCGCATTTGCTTAGTAAGTAAAGTGAGGAGTCTATAACATGGAATAGACCTACCTAGATTTGTATGCTTAAGTTTGAAAATAGACCATTGAGAGTATAACGTTTTTGACACAAAGCAAGCGAGCTGGTTTTGTGGCCCCAAAATGTCTTAGTAATGGAGTACAAATAGGCATTTAATATCACTTTATGTCTCCCGTCTTATCAAACCTTATAAAGTTTTGTGGTTTTGAACGGCATTTCATAATTTACGAGTCATGCATCTAAAACCCATAGGATGTGCGGGCCACCGGGATGGGGTGTCACTCGATTAGGGCCGAGAAGGGGGCTGGGAGGGTCATAACTCAATGCCTGTTGGCCTGGGAACTCAGACAGAGCCTCACGCTACTAGAGCTCCAGCCACAGAGCCACTTCCTGGGCCTCTGCTTATCAGTAACCCATCTGTGGGATCATCTCCCACCAGTCAGCTCTACAGCTTTGAGTGTGCGCGTGTCGTACCTGATCCTGAGAAGCTGTCTAGAGAGCCGTCTGCTACAGAGGTGGCGATTTCACTGCTGCTCATTGGCTCTGTTTTAACTGCAAGCAGAAGGAAAGCAGAGCATTTGTGACGCTGCACTGGTAAAGCCGGTTGTCAGTCACACTACAGGCAAATGCCTTTCTGCTTGTAAAATCAACAAATTTAATCTTAAAGTAATGCGTGAATTTAAAGCCTAGCCAAAAAGCAAACTTTTGTAACATCAAAGTGCTCATCCAGATGGTTTTATTGCCTCACAATGTGGAAAGGATCATTAGGTGGTTGGGTATTGTAAGGGTGGCGTAATGAAGTGGGCTTCTATTGAGATAATAGAGCTTTCAGGTTTCGACAGCTCTATCCTGGCTAGCTCACAAGAGAGGCCTACAATTAAAGCTAATCTCTTCTACAAATAAAACAAGGACACTTCCCTTCCAATACACACAGCTCTTGTGTTGATTTAAGGGCAATAGCCATACTAAACATTATTATTTAAATGCATAAACCAATCTACTTCTGACAGAATGACATGTAAAAATCAAAGAGTAGAGAGTAGATAATTAAATCTCGAAGGGATACGGGAAAATAGTGGCACGGCACATGCAGAAACTAGTGCAGTCAAGTCTTATCACATACCACACATAACCATAAAACCGTCCTGCAGAACATCAAATAAAAAGCTTAAACGCACATTACGCGTGCCCGCAGCTTTTTAACCATTCACTGACGGTCTGGAATCATAGCCAAAAAGTCTCAAACCATGCTTTCAACAGATTCACCATAACACAACACAGAATGCCAAACAAGAGTCCAAATGAAAGGCACAATAGTTGAAGAGATGTGAGCGCATCAAATTGGCTTTTCACATTTGTGAATGCAATCAAATGAAATTGTTAGGATTGCCTCAGGCTGAAATGACTATATAACGTGTGTAATTTCACATATGACGCCAAGTATTGTCCTTTCATTGTTTCGCCAGAACTGCACAAACCTGCAGCAGACTGTGAACTAGAACTTAACAACCAGTCAGCTGTGGTAAGCATAGTGATGTTATCACCTATAGGGAGAAAGAATGGGACAGGACACATGACAATCTGCACTGTCACAGGTTGGGGCTTATCACTACAGAAATGGGAGAAAACCACAGTCAAGATTACATTATGTAAACTACTTCAGAGCTGAATACAATTCTTATGGGCTGTAACATGATCCGTGAAAACACTGAAAGTTCTACAGTTTATATAGTGCATGCATTGAGTCATTTTAAAATGTAGCACTAAAGTGCACTGATGCATTTGCAATAATTTATGTAGAAATATAGAAATAAGATATTGTAGAGGTCAGATATTTCAAATTCATGTATATTTACATTTAATTTTATAAAAAATTGAAGTATATGAATCCCCCTGACATGACAAGCATATCACATATCCAACAGAGCAAAAATCTGCAGATGGTTAACACGGATTCAACTTTTCACAACTTAACGGTGCATAAATGTTACACAAAGGGAATGGGCAGGTTAAAAACCGTGTTCTGTAGCGCTAATAAATCCACATTAATGAAGGTATACGGCCCGCCGGAGGCTGTGGAGACGTACCTTCAGTTCCATTTGGTGTCATGGAATTGTTATTTATATGTGAGTTGTCGATGTTGGGACCGTTTGGGGACTCACTGCTTCCACTTACTCGGCTGTGTGGACTAGCTAGATCCTGCATTTCCATAGACCTGAGAGGAAGAGACACACAGACGGTCACATGATACTGAATGACCCATGCACACACACTCAAACTAGTGCGTACATCAAGATCTGAAATATGAGTGATCGTTCAAAATACACAATTAACAATTACATAACATTGACTAAAAATAATTATTATATAATACAATCCATGTATATTTAAAAACCCAATACTGACATTTTTATGAAGCTAAAATAGAATTTTAGATGCATGTAAAACAATACCTATCTATTATTATTGTCCTCATAAGTCGCTTTGGATAAAAGCGTCTGCTAAATGACTAAATGTAAATGTAAACGTATTACCTTTACAAACAACATAACATTTCTGAATAACAGCAAAAAGAGGACCATAACAATAATAATTTTATATTATTATTTTAAAAAACAACATTAATTATCATTATTTAAATAGTTAATTTAAAAATGCGGCTTTCTCGGAAAACAAACTACATTAAAACAAGAACATTCCAGAAGCTCTCCAGAGAAATCCACTTAACAAGGGGCATTCCCTTGAGGCACATCAAATGACATTTGACACAAATTTAACAATTAATGAGACATCTGATGATTGATTGACTTTCTCATTTGAAGCATTAAAAATTAACCACCACTGGCCCGCTGCAATTTTCATACGTTCATTTCCCTCAGCGGTCTCTGATCTGAGACAGCAATAGCCAGGGCCGTGTGAGAGAGAGAGAGAGATGTGTGATTGTGAGGTCTCAAACCTCAACAAGAGCGACTGAAGAGTTCACTAAAGCATGCTGTTTGCACTGGCGAGCGTCTTAATTGTTTCTTTGTTTATGTACCGAAGGCCACGCCATTGAAAACATTATTCTACTGGCTCCATCGCACACTCGTGGGATTTTATTATGCATAGCAAATGGAAGGTCAGGCCAGTGTGCGTCTGCGGTTGGATGTATGTTACGGGTGTTTGTGTGTGATGTGAATGCGGCCGCAAAACTAAAACACACATCAGTCTCCAGAAAAGCATTATTGTGCTAATTGCGCCAAAAACGCGATGCCTTGCGTGCCGCGCTGCCAGAATCAATTAGGAATGGTCGTGTCACTGCTATCAACAAACATTTGGATTTTTATGAATAACAAAGAGGAGGAAATAAGAAACGCATTATCAGCGTAGATTATCATACCTCTTTTTAGCCGTCGTTCTTGATCGGCTATAAAATATCCGTTACAGATGGTCGCAGTTAAAACCGGGGGAAAATAATCCATGCCATAGAGATGTTAAAACTCGACTTGCTTTTCAAACAATGTCTGTTTCCGACACAAAGCTTATATGTCAGTCAAATGTTTTTGTTCTCTAACACCTCTTGATTCTTTCACATGTCCAGCAGTTTACAAAAAATTCCAGACACCTTCTCGTGAAGTGTCTCAAGCCGTTGAACTTTGCTAAACAAGTGGCTGCTTTTCAGTGATGCTGCTGGCAGCAAATCAGCTCCCTCTTACCTGAAACTGGACGGATCTCAACCATTTATGTCAAATAGTGTTTTTCCCTCTATTTCTTTCTTTCTCCCTGTCCTCTTTTTTACCTGCCAGGACCCTAAAAACAGTATCACTCCTTGTTATTTTAGCCCGATGTCTCTGTGAAGAGCCATCCGTGACACAATAGACGTTGTCTGAGAAAACATTTTTGTTATTCTCGCACAGAATGGCAAGAGAGGAGTCGGTGGAACAGAGAGGCACATTGTCTGTAGGCTCAACCCCTCCACCGTTGTTTCCTCCTTCCAGGTCTTCCCTCCTCCCGGCCGAATGACGGAAAGGTGATTCATCATTGGTCTACGACAGCTGCAAACTGGATTAGTCCTCCCCCAATCAACATGCAAAGCGGCTTAGCCAAGGTAAGCAGGAAAGGGAGGGGTGGGTGACCAGGAGGGGGGGTTAGTTTTGGGCGAGCCAGCCAGGGGCGCCTGCTCGAGGTCGCTGCCACTGTTGCCTCAGGAAGTGTAGGGAGGGGGGGGGTGAAGGCTGAGAGAGATGGGACTTTGTTGAACAGAAGCTAGTCAAGCATGACACCCCTAGCATCTTTCATCTGCAATTGACACTATCTGAAATTTATCTACACTCCCTCTCCAGGCGCACTGACAGTTCCTAATGATGGTCAGGGGGATGACTGGGACTTCGCCTGAGGGTTTGGGGGACAGATAGATACTAATGAGTGCATCTTCTACAATAAGTCAGAGTGAAACGTATTGGGTGTTTCTAAGAAGTCGGAGTTGAACATAATTGAGTGCATCTTGTACAGTTGGAGTGGAACCTATGGGGCCACACATGTTTTCTATGATACTTCAAATGCCGCTATTACTCTTTTTAGCTGACAATTACATTCTGCCGTCCACTTCTGCACTGATACCTGCGGCGCTATTACCCAATATCAGACCGGAGCCGAATTGTTGGATCTAGGTCATGGTTATTCGGCTTTTCCACCAAAATGTCTGAAAAATCCCTGCATGAATTTTTAATGCTGGGCTGTTTTCATGATGTAGTAACCCGAGCTGTTTGGTTTTGGTGTTTTTTGCCCCCCTCTTCCCACAATGGCCATGCTGTGATGAATAATGGTCAAGTTTTTTCCAAATTTCTCCTTCGCTTGACCCCGTCTAGTCATATTAACACAGTTTTGTGCTCTAAAGTCGTTCTTTACATCATCCTAAGTTTGGGAACAGTACTTTGGCTTTCTATAAAAAGTCCAGCACAAGCTGTTTCATTGCAAGACAAGGGAGATAAAGAAGGAAGGGATATAAAGAACTTGCTACGGCCTGCAATCAGCGCCCTGAGCTTACGAGGCATTACGCATGCCGGTCTCACGGCAAAGCCCCTCATCCAGCAGGTGATTTTTCACCAGGTGAACTGCGAAGGGAGGGGCCAGGGTGCTTTTAAAAGCAAAAACAAGCCCTTGTGCTGTACTGCTTAATATTTATTGTTTAAACAAAAAAGGAGTGCATTCAGCATCTTTGATGTGCGCTTGAATTCAACCTGAACTGAGCTGTCTTTGAAGCTCTCGGGAACAAAGAGCTGCGTTGGAAGTGTCATCAAACACGCTTCACTCACGACTGTTTGCATGGCTTTTTGTCTCGCTTTGCTTATTTCAAGCGCTGCGTTTCTATCGGCAAACATCGCCGGGCTTTTAACATTGATCATTGTAGAGCACGCGGGCTGTCTGAGCCGCTCCGACACGGATGAGATTCACCTGAATACTTCTATTGTGATGTAATAACAAGCACGGCTGAAATATTTGGTGGTACTTATTATACTGTGGGATTTTTTGTCAATTATATTTAAATTCAAATAATATTTTTCAAATTAAAAAAAAAATTATAATGAAATATTAGTGTCTATTCGCTTTCCCCTGCCTGCTTTCCAGCCACGGTTTACAAGATTGTAATTTTATAGGGCAAGACATGCATGTCTCTTTTTGAATTTCATAGACTATGCAAAACATGTGTTGTAAGTTACTAGTTTTGAAAAACAACGCTTTAATCAAAATAACTTTAAAACAACTAATCCCAACTTAAGCTGGTCAGCTGAATCCACATGGTGGCCCAGGAAAAATAAATCCACTTGCAAAGAATGTCGATGTAGACAACAATTGAACACAGATGTGACTAGAATTAGACACAGTTTACAAAATGCTACACTTCACTGGACTCTGTGAGCATAAAGCAAAGAAATGTGCACCGCCAGCAAAACACTGATTACCTTACGCATAAAAAAAGAACAGAATGAGAAATGCGTGCCTGTAATATCAGATTTAATTTTGTTGCAGGTATATGCTTGAAAGTTTTTTTCCCCTTGTAACTAAATTATGGATTTAAAATTGTGAATGTACTAAAATACTAATAATATGTTATTAAAAATGACATGAAAACTATCCACTTAAGATAATCAATATATACTAATAAATGAGTCCTATAAAAATATGTATCAATTATCAAATCAAAGGACACATATTTATGTGGAAACGCACACTTGGACACATATCCATAAAAATCCATTTGCTTTTTAATTTTTCATTTAAAAAGACAATTTAAACTTTTACAATTTTGTGTAATTAAAATTTTCATTCCGAACACGTGCTGCAGTTTTCTGATTGGTCTCTTCCATTTTGTTCAATCTGACATGGAGCTCAAGCGATGGACAGCGCAGCTACATTAAATCTGTTAATTCGCTAAATTATTTCCAGAAGTCCATCCGCTTCGAGTGTCCACCAGAGAAGATTTAAGGAACACATCTGATCAAATTCTCCCCACCGCAGTGTCACAGAAAAAAAAGGCGATCGCACAGTGCGAACACGTAAATTGTTACTGAAAAAGCATTACATTTTAATGCATACTTTTTTCTCAGCTTTTAATTTTACAGAAACACTCCTTTGCAATTAACTTAGATTTAAAAATAAAAAAATACAACAGATTTTATTGTTAGACATTTACATTTAATTTATTCTTTCCCCTATTTTCTTTAATTCACAACACTAAAACCTGCATCTACACAGACATCCTAAAAGCAAAAAAAAAAAAAAAGATACTCCGGTTTAGCTCATCCTCTGCTCCTCTGCTTAAGTAAACAAACTCCTTGATTACATGTAAACAAACACAAAGGAATTGTGAATGTAGAAGAGCCGTAATCAATTGAGCTTCTCAGCCCTTATTTCCTTTTCCCTGAGCGACATGTTCCTAAGACCAACAGTGGCATGTTAACAAAATAACACTCTACTGTATCTAGTAAACAACTAATCGCCACAAACCGTTTCCGCTGTCTCTATCTCATAAACAGTGAAGCGCAGCAGTTTCAATTAACCTTGTGTCTTTCACCGCGCACCGTTTCCAGCTCGGCCGCACACATTGGGCCTTCGGCAAACAACGGCACGTCGTGGGGCTGAACGCATGAGGGCTTATCGGAAAGAGCTTAATGCAGCCGAACTTATGCCTTATTAAAACAAATACAGTGTGTAAACAGTCCAAATCAAGCAGCCCATTATGAGGTAATTAGATAAGCGGGGTTATTGTGCGAAAGGAACACAGAGAGGGCGGCTGGAGGCAACACCGTATTAACACACTCTGGAAAAAAACAACGCGAGCTGGGAAACAGCTGCCGTGGGATGGCTTTTCAATTATTATAAAATAAAAGCAGATTTAAAAAACAATTTCCATTGCTTCTTTACTAAATTAATGTACAAAAACTTCAAATTACAAGACTAAAGTGAGAAGAACATTATCCATTTTGAGAAATATTTACAAGCCCTGAATAATTTTACCGGATAACACAAAATACTAAATTCTCAAAGGAACTTCCTCATCCTCGCATAGAAAACAACTCTTTCAAAAATGTGCGGGTGTCTTAGTTTTGGTGGCCGCCTGCCGATGTCTTACAAGACACCAATCTGCCTGTCTGTCTACCCTAAAGCATTCCTGCCTGCAGCAGATGGCATTGGATGTCAACTGCTAAAACTGAATTGGTTTTGTTTATTCTGCCAGCTGAATAGAATCTTGGGTTTTACTTGTTGGATGAAAAATAGAAACGTATTATCTAGGACTCAAAATGGGGTCATAATTTACAATGCAATCTCTTATTTCATTGCCTTGTACACCTGTTTTAAAGTATCAAAAATGTAGTCCCCACCTGAGGGCTGAGGAGATGTAAAAAGGTGAATTTGAAAAGGCTGAAGGTGTGAATCAGGTGCGTGAGCTCTCAGGTGTGAGAGAGAGTCACTGGGGATTTAAATTTGAGCGGCAAACGGTGAAAGTGACATGATGCATCTTAAAACTGTTTAAGCTGTATTTTATAAGGAGTTTTATGTTAAAATAAACAGTGTGTATTCATTGAAATTTTTTAATAAAACTGAAATTGCAAATTTGTAGGAACGTGAACTCAAAATACTATACAACATATTGCTTTTTTAAAAAACGATTAAATGCTTTATATGTATAAACAGCAATTAGCTTTTATGAACTTTGATATCTATGTTTTAAAAATAATCTGACAATATATACTACAGCGACATACATTTTTATGGTGTTACTGACATAAGTAGTTTTATTTTTATATTTTACAGTCTTTTATTAAATGTAATAAAGTAAACTGACACTATTGAGGATTTAACAGTACATTAAGTGTAGATAAAAAAAAAATAATACAATTTGTTGAGAGATAACTTGATAATGTTGCCGGTTTTGAAGGACTGCAATTTTGTCATTCAAACTACTCCTGATTGACGAACATAAAAATATTATATCCGAAGGCATTTTTAAAAATATTTCAATTTAATCTAGATCTTGATTATGCCATCACAGCTCCAAATACCCATGTAACTCTAAAAATGACGTAAAAAGTTCAACACGGGACACGTAAAATAATAAAAGTAGAAGAAAATACTAATCAAAATAGTACTCACTACAATTATGGTAGAATCCTTGCACTTTTTCTTTTATTCCTCCCTGTTTTGCAATCTTCCGTTGAGTGTCTGTCCGTTCCAGAGCAAATAAAGAAGTTTTTTTTTTAAAAAGAAACTTCTCTCAGAGTTGACTTTAAACGCGCAGATTAGCGATAAAAGACAACTTTTTTCTTTTTCATTTTAAGGGTGAAAAGTCATGGAGCCCCGTACTAGATCTCAAGAGACAGACTCCGAGCAAGAACGAGAGTTGTCCGATTACTGCTGCAGGCAGTGACTAGCTAGTGTCTGAGGAAGAGAAAAAAAGAGTGAAAGAGAGAGAGCCAGTTGAGAGAGACAGAGAGGGAGGGAGGGAGGGAGCATGCAGTTTGAAAGCGCAGAAAGTTGCTCGCTTCTCTCTCTCACAGGAAGACTTTAGTTTGGAGGAGGCACTGGGGAGTTTTCTTCACACCAGTCCTCCATATGTCATTCACTCAAAGCTTTAAGCAATATAGCCTTCCTCTAGATTGTATCAGTGATCCTAAGACAATGAAACGGCAGATCCTGCATGCATCTCTGCTAGTCTGCTGGATCCTGTGGCTCTGCACACACACACAGCCCCAGGGCACAGCTTTTTTTCCCTCTCTCTCTCCTCTCTCTCTCCCGTTTATTTTTATGTTCTTCTTCCCACAAACCGGTTCTTTTTTTGTGGCTGATTCTCTCTGGTTTGTCCCTGACAAAAGGATCCTAGTAGGTATGCATTAAGTAAATATAGTTGTTTTTATAGGTGATTTTATTGGAGCAAACTGGCTCGTCCGATCAGCGTTATAGTGGAAGCCCTCCATCAACAAGTAGACTGTTCACTGCTGTTTGCAAGGTAATGACTGTCGTCTGTCGAAATAACATTATATGTTAATATAATGGTCTTAATTGTAATGTAATTTTAAGCTACATTACAGCACGTAACATTATGTTACATTATTAAGACCATAAACATGTGAAAATGTAAATGAACATATATTAACAAACATGTGCATTAGTGTATATTATACATTATATACATATAATGTATATAAAATATAAGTATATATAACAATATAAGTAAATTCATTTGTATACAAAAAGAATAAAAAGAATACACACACACACACACACACACACACACAAACAAACAAATGTAAAGTGGATTTATATTAAAATCATATAAAATTTAAATATAATAAAGAAATATGTAATTAAGTAGTTTTGTTTGTTTGTTTGTTTTTAACCTGTAAATTTATGGGGAAAATTACTTTTTTAATTGGACATACAATATGGTGAAAATAATAATTAAATTTTCAATTAATTTATCAAATATAAATAAATCTCTAAACAATTTGTTTCATAACGAACAAAAGCAGCATGTGCCTTATTTTATATATACTGTATACCTATACTAAAAAATTGCCCAAATATGCTACAAGGTGCCTAAAAAGACAAACACACACTCACAAATTTACTAAAATACACAACATGATGCTGGTGTGTCGCAATGAAATGGACTCAGCAGCCATATATGGGACAGCAGGCCAAACCTCTGCCATTCACCTCAGTATAAATAGACCCAAGCTTGACTTCTCCTCGTCTAGATGTGGTGCTACTAAAGCAGTTGTCATGCAAATGCACAGGCGTTTACGCTACAGATGTGCCTACAGGTAAAAGCCGGCGTTTCACATTTCAGCCTGAGAAAATTAAATATATTGCATTTTGAAGAGGCTCTTGATAACTCAATAGACTAATAAATGCAGAGGGGATCTCAAGTAACTATTTGCCGTAGCTGAGGGGTTTATACGCCAATCGAGTTATAACCCCCTCTCTCGCACATAAAATTAACTTTCAATGTAATTTTGCAGATATTTTAAAATTGCGCAGCATAATTATCCCAAGTTGTTTATGTCTCCCAAGCAAACACTTTCAATTTCCCCTAAGCAAAGCTTTAACGTCAACGGAAAGGTATGTTTCACATTACTGTACCATAACTATAAATAGCACAATATCAGGTGAAAGATATCTCATAATATTCAATAAGACTGAGATTAAGATTCTGAGAGGTATATTGACTCACTAACATGAAAGGCCATAAATAACCAAACTAAATTCATATCATGGGAAAATAAACAAATTGCTAGTTTCAAAGTATAAAGCTAGTTTCAAAGTTCTGATTATATGGTTTATCATATTGTGTAATACTGTTGTGTGAGAATATTCAATTATATTTAGTTCTGAACTGCAAATGATGTATTTTGGAATTAAATAATGAATAATATGTATATATATATAAATATAACAAGTACAAGTATATATTTATTTTTTGTTTGTGTGTATTGATCCTAAATCCGAGAGCCTAAATTTAGGCCTCAACAGTCTTATTTTTCTGCTAGACTTAAACACTTAGCAAAACGGCCCTTTAGAATTAGACAATCAAGCTCGCGATGTTCCTATTATGTGCCCGTGATGGACTTAACAAAGATGCATTGATAGTCCTAGACTGACATCAGTGCTAAAACATTACTTGCCAAAAACTATATCAAGCTAGAAATATGAGAAGTGGGTAAGATTAAAAGTGAAGCCTTTCTTTATTAAGGATTATCTTGATGGGACCCTGCAGTCTTACTGGGAGGCTGCAGAGATGTCTGCTTGAAATCTAGATACATGGGGGGATCTACTGTGTCCTGCATTGCACCAGGGGTTATCAAGAAATTATGTCACAAATGCATAATTATGCTATGATTCATGCATTGCCCACAGCTGAGCCACTAAAAGCAACTGGCTGAAGTTGAGCTACTCATTACTCACTAAAGTAATTCAGCTGAAAGACAATAAATGGATGCCCTGATGGAATGTCATTATTGTTATTGTATAGCACAATTACACTTCTTCAAACTATGAGCAAGTTCTGCTTTGAGAAAACTGAGGAAATATACAGTCTTTGTGATGCTAATAATGCTAATGCTAACCAACACAACAACACTGGTTGTTTGCAATCCGCTACCAGAGTGTTTACACAATGTCACACTTCGAGGAGATCGAGTTGCTTTTTCTGCCCGTCTACCAGAACATAAAACTCTAAAGCTTCCCCCAAGATACGAAACCTGAACTTTAGTTTTTGCCTAATGAAAACAACTTTTTACAAATTTTACATAATATTTACCTACTAACGAGACGGAAAAATTATTCTGGGCCTCTAAATTCATGTCCCTGACAGGAGGAGGATGGGGGAGTTGGCTCTGTGGAGATTTTACCATTCCGTCAAGCAGCTGATACTGGATATTTTCTTCATACTTCATTCAGGAGCCTTTTCATAGTGAGTACATTTTCTGCTTTAAATAACCGAGCTACAAAAACTTGTCTTTAATGACAGAAAATGTAAAAAAAGACAGCTAGGTGAAAACTGATGCACAATATTTATGTGCTAAACTCATGCAGACCTGACTATCGACACCTTTGGTATAAATCAACACATCCTAAACAATGAATATTTTACTAATACTTTAAAAGATAATTCACCAGGGAGAAAAGAAAAGAGTTACTTACAAATCACAGGCAATTTAATGGCATATTTAGCATGAGTTTTTGAGGCCATTTAGCACAATGTCTTATTATATCATCTGTACAGTAAAATTGAGGTAAACAGTAAAATAAGACAATGTAAATAATATGCAGTGTTGGTAACAGTCTATTGTGTTTATATTGTCCATATCCCTATTGTCACTTTGTGGGCTGATTTTTATTTTTTTAAATTTATTTTTTATTAAATTAATTAATTAAATTCAGCAAGGATGCATTCAACTGACCAAAAGTGACCGTAAAAAGATTACTATTTCAACAATTTCTGTTCTTTTAAACTTTCTATTCAAATAAGAATCCTGAAAAAATGGTTTCCACAAAATATCAATCAGCACAATTGATTTCAACATTGATAATAATACAAAAAAAATGTTTCTGGAGCAGCAAATCAGCATATCTGAATGATTTCTGAAGGATCATGTCACACTGAAGACTGGAGCAATGACTGCTAAAAATTAAGCTTTTCATCACAGGAATAAATTACATTTTAAAACATATTTAAATAGAAAATAGTTACTTTAAATTGTAATAATATTTCACAATATAGCAGTTTTTACTGCATTTTTGATCAAATAAATGCAGCCTTGGTGAACATAAAAGACTTCTTTTACCGACCCCACTGAACGTTTGAACAGTAGTGGTTTAGTTATGACGAATGAAGACAAATAAAAAGGATTCTAATTGTTAATCTGAAAAACTCAACCCAGTTCTGTTGCATTCAGAAGTAATGGGCAAAGCTAAATTCAAACACAATGTACGAGACGTTTTATGGATTATTCGACTCCATCAGTGGGTGTTTTTCTCTCCTCCTGCCTGATCCCACAGACTGCATCATCAATCTCCAAAACTACATTTGCTGATCCAACCTGCAGTGCTTAATTTCAGGAGAACCAATCAGACAGAACACCATACCCACTGTTCAAAAACCGGCTTCATTTGACTCCAGGGCAATCTTTGATGATGATGACGAGTTGTCACCACAATAAAGATTTCGACAGCACAGACAGATAATTTTAAAGCCCCCTAAGGTAAATTAGTAGCAAGCAAAGTACTTTCAAGTGGTGAATAAAAGCTGCAGTGAAGCTCCATTTCTCTATAAACAAACATCACCTTCATCTGCTAGAACTAATGGAAGTATGTTCATACTTAATGCCTTTGAAACAACTGGATTTCTCCTCATCAGAATAATTCAGCCGGTTAACTTCAAAAGAGCGCTGCATAAATCGAAATTTGCAATCACGGGAAAGACAAACTGGAGAACAACCAAAAAGATGATACATATGTTTCATATTCAGTTAGTTACATTCATTCGATTGCAACTCATCAGTGTGAATTTCCAACTACAATGATGCTTGTACTTAGAAAAATCAGAGACGTAAAAAACATCAATGCCGACAGTGTGTTTGTTTAAGAGCGGCACAGACACTTCTACCCATGAGTGCACTGCAGGCCGCGCTTTATGAGAATCCAAGCACACCTGGTGAAGTTCTATGAGGGCCCTCTGATCCTCAAGAAGGCAGTTTATTACTCTCTAGGGCTCTGAAAAAAACAGCAAAACAAGCGAACTGCAGAGACCTATTACTCAGAAAGAGACATCACAGAGGATCGCAGTGATATACAGGACATACTCCCTACTGGAGTGTTTATTTAAATGCTGTACTCGGGCCATTGGCTGTCGTTAAAAAGA